ACGTCCATGTGGAGCGTCTGCAAAGGAGCAGTCGTCGGGGGAAACGAGGAGGAGTGAGGAGCGGCGCGCTGCCGCCCCTTGACACAGGGAAGACAGGGAGGAGCGGGCGAGGGTGGGAGGGGAGGGAGGACCCTGGGAAGACCAGAGACAAGGTATCGGGAGTGCATGGCACGAAGGCGCTGCACAGACGGGTGGCCCAGTCGGTGGTGCCAGAGGACAGTCTCGTGCGCTAGAGAGCGACACGAGCAGGGGGCGGACAGCTGACCTGACGCGGACGCAGACGCAGACGCAGCGACCTGAGGGGGGGCAGTAGTCAGTGTATACAGATCCGACCCCGGCTGCCGGGTGAAGGTAGCCAAGTGGCGGCCTGTACGGGCACACGTGCAGTGTGTGACACGCTCGTAGGCAGGGGTGAACTGGTGAACACCCGCGTCCTGTAGTGCACAACCTGCCACCAAGTTCGTAGAGAACGAGGGGAGGTGGAGACCTGACAGTGTGCCCGACGGGACCGCAGGACAGGGAAGGACAGTGGAGGAGGTCGCAAGGACCGGACCCCAAGAGGGGTCAGCGAGGGAGACAGCAACTGGCCGAGCAAGGGGCTCAAGGGCAGTGCGGTCACGAAAGAAACAGCGAGAGGCACTTGAATCCAGTGTGAAGGTGTGCAGTGCTGTAGTCGACACAGTACTAGGGGGGGCAGACGTACACGCACCTAGAGCAGCAGCCTCACCAGCACCTGGGGTAGCGGACACGCGAGTACCTGGAGCGGCAGACGCACTAGTCCTAATGCCCGGGTCGGGCGGGACACTCAGGTACTCAGCACCCTCTCCACTAGTAGACATCACATACATGGCAGTGAGAATAGCATCAAAGTCTAGAGCATAAATATCAATCCCCTTCTTCAGGAGATCAACCCAGCGGGGCAGCTCAGTGGCCTGAGGGAACTGAACACGCCAAGCGTCGTTCAGACGAGCGAAGCAACGCTGTGTGGCGTGTGGTCCCCCACACGGCTGGCCAGTGCGGTCACCAGTGCGAATGACGTACGTGCAGCTAAGGCCACCCCCCCCCCCCCGTGCTGAGAGTACCACTCACGGACCTCCTGGGGCGACGGAGTGTGCTGCTGGCCCTGGCCACCGCCAGTGCCTCCACGACCACCACCGCCGCTACCACCTCCTCGACCACCCCAACCCCGGCCGCTGCCTCGTCCACTGCCACCCCCACCACCTCCTCCGCCCCGGCCAACTCCCCCGCCGCTGCCGCCACCCCCCCCACTGCTGCCACCTCCCCCACCCGCGCCACCCCCCCCGCCACCACCACCTCCCCCACCACCGCCACCCCCGCTTTCACCACCACCGCCCTTGCCCCCCTTGCCCTTGCTGCTGCGGCGCCCACCCGAAGCAGACGCAGTCCCGACCTTCTCAGCACCAAGGAGGTCGACAGCAGCAGCAGAGGCGACAGAGGGAAGAAGGGGGGAGGGAGAACACCCCTCAAAGAACGGGGTACGGGGGTCACCGCGAGAGGCACCTACAGCGACTATGCTAGCCTCAGCTGCAAGCAGTTCCTTCTCGAGGAGGGCAATGGTGAGCTCGGTGGGGCAGCGAGCTAGGAAGTGGTCCCTGACTGAGCGCAGAGTGTCAAGGAGGCGCGTGACTAGGTGGTAGAGAGTGAGCCAGAGCGGGGGTGGATTCTTGGCAAGGAACTCATCAGGCATAGCGGCGCGGAAGCGAGCCTCACTGGTGCGGAGGTGGGTAATGAGATCAGCGACAGTGTGGAAGGAAGCTAGGTCGGGGAACAGGTAGGGAAGAGAGAGACGGCCTAGAGCGGCAGAGGCCGGCGAGGAGTAGCGGGCAACGACAGCAGTGTACAGTGCCTGTGCAGTCTTGTGCTGCCCAAAGTGCTCGCGCTCATCTATCGGCAGAGAGTTGCGAATAGCGAAGCGAGCATGGGCGTCACGAGTCTGCCACTGTGAGCGGGCAGTGCTGTCAGCAGTAGCAGCAGGAGCAGTAGCGTGGCCTAAGGCATGATCGTACAACGAGATGTCTTCCTTGGCAGTGAGCTGTAGGAAGAGGTGTAGGTCATCAAGCCAGGTGTCGAACTTCACTGGGCGGCCCTCAGTATCGAAGGCTAGGACAGGAGGGCTAGCCATGGTAGCAGCAGTAGGAAAAGCAGTAGGAGCAGTAGGGTAGGTAGGGCGGCGCGGCTCGGGACAGGTAGGGCGGCGCGGCTCGGTATAGGTAGGGCGGCGCGGCTCGGGTCGGGCGGCGCGGCTCGGTTCGGGCGGCTCGGGTCGGGCGGCTCGGTTCGGGCGGCTCGGGTCGGTTAGGGCTGGCGGCTCGGGTCGGGCGGCTCGGTTCCGTTAGGGCTGGGCGGCTCGGGTCGGCTCGGTTCGGGCTGCTCGGTCTGGGTGGGGCCGTTCGGGGCCGCTAAGGGCGAGCGCGGGGAGCGGGTGGGGCCGTGAGGGACGAGCGCGGGGCCGACGTGGGTGCTAAGGGCGAGCGCGGGGCCTATCGGGGCCGTGAGGGACGAGCGCGGGGCCGATCGGGGCCGTAAGGGACGAGCGCGGGGCCGACGTGGGCCTCTAAGGGCGAGCGCGGGGCCTATCGGGGCCGTGAGGGACGAGCGCGGGGCCGATCGGGGCCGGTAAGGACGAGCGCGGGGCCGACTCGGGCCTCTAGGGGTAAGCGCGGGGCCGATTCGGGGCCTCTAATAGCGAGCGCGGGGCCGACCGAGGCCTCTAGGTGCGGGAGCGCGGGGCCGACGGGGCCTCTAGGGGCGTGAAAGCCGAGGCGCCCTAGGGCGCAGGTAGGTAGGTAGGTAGTGGTGGGCCCTAAAAAAAATCGGTCCTAGGAAGGACCTGCTCTATACCATGTTGAACAAGAATGAATGAACTAAGAGTGAAATGAGTACAAGCATCAAAACCTATGAATGTGTACCCCCTATAGGCTAACCCACTGTAGCCTAAACAACAACAACAACATATATAATGTTTGACAAGTTCCTCTAGGCGTAGGGAAAAGCATTCAACCATCTGATTGTTATTGCATATTCGAGTGGCCCATGTTCAAACACACCTGCAGCTTTTTCGGCCTGGTTCTTGCGCAAAGAAAAGTTCGGCGCCTATGATTTCGGCCGTTTTTTGCCGACAAATGCCCAGAGAGCGTATGAATCCCTATAAGCGTAAGGAAAGGCATTCAGCAACCTGATTCTAATTGCATATTCCAGTGGCCCTTGTTCAAATACACCTATTAGAGCCTTTTCGGCCTGGTTCTTGCGCAATGAAAAGTTCAGCGCCAATGATTTCGGCCGTTTTTGCCGACAAATACTCAGAGAGCGCATGAATCGTTATTCGCGTAGGGAAAAGCATTTAACAACCTGATTGTTATTGCATATTCGAGTGGCCATGTTCAAATACATTTATTGGAGTCTTTTCGGCCTGGTTTCTTGCGCAAAGAAAAGTTCGCCGCCTATGATTTCGGCCGTTCTCGCCGAGAAATGCTAAGGGAGCGCATGACCCCTACAGGCGTAGGGAAGCATTCAACAGCCTGATTGTTATCGCATTTTCTGTCAGAATCCCAACCACTAGACCATTGGGATAAAGGGGCTTGTTTCAGTAGCGGGTCAGTGCGCCCATAACCTCCCAGGCGAACGCGCCTGTAACCCTCTCCAGGATCAATCAGGCATCCACAGTGCAGATCTACTGACACCCCTCCACACAAGGAGGCCTAGGACTAAGCACAGCGGCAACGGCCTACATGTGCATACACCGGGAATCGAACCCGAGACTGCTCTGATACCATGTCAGAATCCCAACCACTAGACCATTGGGATAAAAGGGCTTGTTTCAGTAGCGGGTCAGTGCGCCCATAACCCCCCGGGCAAACGCGCCTGTAACCCCCCCTAGGATCGATCGGGGATCTCACAGTGTAGCTCTACTGACACCCCCCCACACTGGGAGGCCCAGGACTGAGCACAGTGGCAACGGCCAACATGTGCATACACCGAGATTCGAACCCGAGACCGCTCTGATACCATGTCAGAATCCCAACCACTAGACCATTGGGATAAAAGGGCTTGTTTTAGTAGCGGGTCAGTGCGCCCATAACCCCCCAGGCGAACGCGCCTGTAACCCTCTCCAGGATCAATCGGACATCCACAGTGCAGATCTACTGACATTTTCGAGTGGCCCATGTTCAGATATACCTATTGGAGCCTTTTCGGCCTGGTTCTTGCATAAAGAAAAGTTCGGCGCCTGTGATTTCGGCTGTTTTTTTCCGACAAATGCTCAGAGAGCGCATGAATTCCTATAGGCGTAGGGAAAAGCATTCAACAACCTGATTCTTATTACATATTCGAGTGGCCCATGTTCAAATACACCTATTAGAGTCTTCTCGGTCTGGTTCTTGCGCCAAGAAAAGTTCGGTGCCTATGATTTCGGCCGTTTTTGCCGACAAATGATCAGAGAGCGCATGAATCCCTATAGGTGTAGGGAAAAACATTAAAGCCAGCAGCTAAAATAGTGACCCCCCCCTTCTAGTTGGGTCCAACTTGAAAACGGAAGTTTTGGGAAAGTTGGAAGTTACGTGTGAAATTTTCTTTCAACACCAGAGTTTGCCTCAAAGTGAAGGGGGAACGATTGGATCATATTTATGAACTCTGATTGGTGACAACCTTTCTCGCACATACATGTGCGATTTTGGCGCAAGGCTGCACGACGTGCAAAGCTTCCAATCGTTCCAGTGAATGTACCAGTGAATGTACCAGAACCTTTGCGTGACGCAACGACACAAGCAGTTCCGACAACCCACACACATGCAACGAGAATGTTTAGGTGATCCAGAGCTAGTCGACCTGTGAGACCAGTGCAGCGAAGGACCTGCGGCCTGCTCTTTTAGAATAATATTAACAAGAGGAGGGGAGGGGACGGTAGTGAGGAATAACGACGGGAAAGATCAAGGGCGAGAGGAACAAGGACGGGAATGGAAGCGGAGATGGGAAGAGCGACGTTAGGGGTGCGGAGAGAGGAAGAAAGACGGGAGGGGAGCGGAGACACCGAGGGCGAAGAAAGGGGATGGGAGAACAACAAGAAGACGCGAAGGTAGGGGAGTTCTTGAGGGCGACGAGACGGGATGGAATAAAGGTACGCTGATCGAAAGGAAAGGCTGATGGCAATATCGTGGGGAAGGGAAGGGAGGGGCGATGGCGCGGGTAGAGAGGAGCGCGATGGCGACTACTCGAGAGCGTTTCGTGGTGCCGACAGTGACAGGAACCGTAACGATCGCGCGAGAGGCGAAAGAGCACTTCGCCGGAAGGCAAGCATATATATAACGCCGGGACAGAGCGAAGAAGAGAGCGAGGGCGATGGGAGAGAAGGCGACGGGAGAGAGGGCGACGGGAAGGGCGCGGAGAGAGAGAGAGCACGACGGGAAGGGAGGGGCGAGAGAGAGGGCGACGGGAAGGGAGCGGAGAGAGAGAGAGCGCGATGGGAAGGGAGGGGGGAGAGAGAGGGCGACGGGAAGGGAGGGGAGAGAGAGAGGGCGGTGGGAAGGGAGGCGACGGGAAGGGCGCGGATAGAGAGAGCGCGACGAGATGAGAGGGGCGAGAGAGAGGGCGACGAGAAGGGCGCGGAGAGAGAGAGCGCGATGGGAAGGGAGGGGCGAGAGAGAGGGCGACGGGAAGGGAGGGGAGAGAGAGAGCGCGATGGGAAGGGAGGCGACGGGAAGGGCGCGGATAGAGAGAGCGCGACGAGATGAGAGGGGCGAGAGAGAGGGCGATGAGAAGGGCGCGGAGAGAGAGAGCGCGACGGGAATGGAGGGGCGAGAGAGAGGGCGATAGGACAGGAGGGGAGAGCTCGTAAGCGATGGGACGAAATGGGAAAAACGGGGTGGGAGACGAGAGAATGTTTCGAGGCAAGCGCGAATGCGAAGAGGTGGGTGATGAGCGGGGGGGGACGGAATAAGGCCGCCGCGAGGGCAATTCCACGCGAATGTGAAGGTGATGAGCTGAGCGACGAAAGGGCGTTTCGGCGGCGAGCGCGTTCAACCGAAAAATCTCGAGGCAAGTATCGCTACAAGACGCGTAAGATCCCTCGTCACTAGGCCACGAATAGAAGGATGTGGATTAAATCTATAAAAATGGTAGTTGCCTAGGCAAAAAAAATGCCTACGTTTTCAGCTATTCTAAGCTTGGCTAAACTAGAGACTAGAGTGGAAAGAAGTAGTGGAACCCAGGTCCAACTTGAAGTTGGAGTTGGGCCCAACGATCGCAATGATCGCCGTACAGCCGTCGTGCGGGTGCATCATGTTGAATGCGACTCCTTGTGTAAGGCCTAGAAATTTCGTTTTTGGCGGGAGCCAATCAAATGGGTTCGATCTGCACACACGAAATGTTTGAAACAGTGCTTTGCAAACCCACCCGGGAAGATCCTTTCAAGCTGGGACGGGGTTCACTATTCTATATTTCGGTTTTAAACAACCTGATTGTTATTGCATATTCGGGTGGCCCATGTTCAAATACACATAGTATATATTTTTCATCTTGGTTTATGCATAAAGAAAAGTTCGACGCCTATCATTTTGATTGGTTTTGCTGAGGGTAGTTTTTAAGCCCATTGGACAATCAAACTCGTTTAGGCATTTGAATATAAACTGTAAACATACACTTAATGCATGAACCCACTTTGGTTTGTTATAAACATGCACAAGCAGCTTTACAACCACACGCAGCAGCGTCTGTACAAGTAGTGAGGGCGGCGCCTCGAAAGAGGACGATGAGATGAGCCTGAAGCAGATCCCATCAACAGCAGGCAAGGCATTTGCCTTCCCACGAGCAGCAAAGGGAGCAGCTTAGGTGGTAGGCGATGGTGGGAGGACGGAAGCAGCCACATGGGGCGACCAGCAATAGCAGTGCTTGAGAGAAGGGAGAACAGTGGGTGGTTATGACGGGCAGATGAGGTTATGACAAGCATGGTGTCAGAAGTAGGAGGGCGATGACTCTGAGGAGCGTGAGAGCCAGTACACAAGGCCACTGCAGGGGAGAGGAGGGGAGACAGGGGCGAGTAAGCAGAAAGGTGGGTGGTTGAAGCAGAGTGTATGCGGGCAGATAAGGGGCAGATGACAGATAATGAATCCGCACAGCTGGCGATGATGAAAGCGCATTGGAAGACCCATGACAGGCCCCTGGCAGCACACACGCACCTGGCAGCACGCATGCACCTGGCAGCACACACGCACCTGGCAGCACACACGCACCTGGCAGCACATACGCACCTGGCAGCACACACGCACCTGGCAGCACACACGCACGCACCTGGCGATGCTGACAGGCAGATGACAGCGTGCGCACCTGGCGATGATGAAGGCGCACCTGGCGATGATGAAGGCGCACCTGGCGATGATGAAGGCGCACCTGGCGATGATGAAGGCGCACACCTGGCGATGATGAAGGCGCACCTGGCGATGATGAAGGCGCACACCTGGCGATGATGAAGGCGCACACCTGGCGATGATGAAGGCGCACACCTGGCGATGATGAAGGCGCACACCTGGCGATGATGAAGGCGCACACCTGGCGATGATGAAGGCGCACACCTGGCGATGATGAAGGCGCACACCTGGCGATGATGAAGGCGCACACCTGGCAATGATGAAGGCACACCTGGCGATGATGAAGGCGCACACCTGGCGATGATGAAGGCGCACACCTGGCGATGATGAAGGCGCACACCTGGCGATGATGAAGGCGCACACCTGGCGATGATGAAGGCGCACACCTGGCGATGATGAAGGCGCACACCTGGCGATGATGAAGGCGCACACCTGGCGATGATGAAGGCGCACACCTGGCGATGATGAAGGCGCACACCTGGCGATGATGAAGGCGCACACCTGGCGATGATGAAGGCGCACTGGAAGACGCCGGCAGCGCCGGGCCACGAGGACGTGCTGGGCGGCGACGCGTCCTTTATGAGCATCCCCGCCGCCCCCGCCAGCGATGCAAAGGCGATGACGTACGCCAGGAACAGCCACGTGCGCGACCTGCTCGGGCGGGGGAAGCGGAGGGGGAGGGCGGTGGGGGAGGGGGACGGGGGAGAACGATTTGCACTTGTGGTGTGATGCCAGATTGGGGCCAGAGTCGCTTGAGAAGGGGGGGAGGAGGAAGGAGCGTGGGTGAGCGGTGCAGGGCCGGGAAATGAAAGCACAAGGAGAGGAGGGGAAGAGTGGGAGAGAGAGCATGGTGCAGAGAGGGCAGCGGAGTGGGCGGCAGGGTGAGGAGGAGCGCAGGAGGCGAGGGGACCAGGGCAGGGCGGGGTAGGAGGGGACCTGCAGCCGGCGCCGTCGTCGTAGGGCGAGTAGTCATGCAGCTCGTCGCGGTGCACAGCGTTAAACATCATCGCCGCCACTGTAGCGAATATGCCTGTAACGAGGCGATAGGGGTAAAGGGAGGAAACTTTTGAGGCGTCTCCAAGCTCGTCGCGGTGCACGGCGGCGAACATCACCGCCACTGTAGCGAATATGCCTGTAACGAACCCCATGGTTGCGGAGGGCGGGGGACCAAAAGAGGAACGGGGAAAAGACGGGCTGGTGGGAAAAGGGAATGTGGAATTGGATGCAGTCACGTTGCGCAGCAGGGGGAGGCAGTACCTGGGACGTAGCGCGGCAGGGGGAGGCGGTACCTGGGACGTAGCGCGGCAGGGGGGTGCGGTTCCTGGGACGTAGCGCGGCAGGGGGGTGCGGTTCCTGGGACGCAGTGCGGCAGGGGAGGCGGTACCTGGGACGTAGTGCAGGAAGGGCACGGTGGAGGAATTGCACACGACGGCGTCCACCCATATCCACCACGCCGCACCGAACAGCGCGCCCGCCGCTAGCGGGCCGAACCGCCGCCAGTGCTCGTCGGATAGCGGCATGCTGGCCGCGGCTTTAAGAAATATGCGGCTTGAAGGGAAAAAACGACTGCTAAGAGACTTGCGACTTTAACGGTTTGACGGGATTTTCAGTGACACGAGGTGGTGCGTTGCTCAACAAGAGGTATGTGGCGAGATGACGAGCGGTACAAGATTGAACACGAAGTTGCAAGGAAGTAGGGAGTTAGCGCAAGGCGCAGGTGAGATAGAGAAGACGGATGGAGAGGCGGGTCGACGCAGAGACTGTTGTCTATGACTCTATCGAGGACGGAAGAACAGGAAAATTAAGGGTGGCCTAGGGAGGACTGTAAACACGGCGACGCAGAAAAGTGTAGGCAGGGCTGCTGCCACTTCTGTCCACTGAGACGGTGCAGAGGATTAAAAACTCGCTGAGAGCAGCACTCGACTTTGGAACAGTTACCTCTCCAAGAAGATTCCAACCATCAAGGGCTAACATGGTTTTTAATAAGTGCATCAAAGACTGTTCCCTGTGCACCTTTTCTTAGCGTAGTTGTTATTTAGCCAGGTTAACGTTTGAACACAAGATGATCAGGTGGGCACATTCAGCAACCCGCTGCTTTCTTCTCTCCACCCAATTTACAGGCAATTCCTTAGCACCAGATACAGCTTCAGAGGCCTGAGAAACTGCAACTAATGTAACTGTTACAAAGAAAGCAGAGAAGGACTTCTGCCAGCCTGGAAATAGGGGCTGGAGCGAGGCAAGCAGAGGCACAGCGGCAGCAGGCCCCTGTGGGCCCAGCAGCAGTGTGGGGGGGCGTGCGAGAGTGAGGTGGATCGGCGAGTGAAGCACGGGTGCGTGTGTGACCATTTAAGCCATTTAAGCCTCCTCGTCGGCCTCGTTCTCGGCGATGTTGAAGTAGCGCAGCTCGTACACGTTGCGGTCCTTGTTGGACGCGATCACCCGCAGCCAATCACGCACGTTGTGCTTCTTCAGGTACTTCTTCGTCAGATACTTGAGGTACCTGCACGGAGGGTGATGTGGACGGGACGAGTGCGGAAGGGCAACGTGTGAAGCGGAGTGGACGAGAATGATTTAGCATTTCACATAAAGTGGCAAAGAGTGAACGCACTGACGAATCTAAGGTAACCAAAAGTGACCTCGTACGCTCGTGCTCATCCTGGGATCACTGGTCTTACGATGCTCCGTTCTACACCATCATGCATTCAGCTCCCTCCTACACAATTGGATACGCGTTCCCTCCTGTTCCAGCCGTTTCTTCGCAAACAACGGACGGTGGCAATACCGAGACTTACCAACCTCTCGCGCAACTGCTCACCACTCAACCTACTCATAGGTAGATACCCCGCCCTGCCTCTCTAATCCCACCAATCGCACGTGTGCTACACCATGCACTCCAAGTCTCGAAGCTACCGTGCTTTGTCCGCCTAATGGCACTTCGACCAGACTTCACATGCGACGTTCAAGGCCATGCGATGCAGAAAGCTTGCGGAACGGGAACTAGCCAAAATGCAGCTGCTCCATTCCACACGGCCATGCGTTCATCTCCCTTCTACTCGAGTATCGCACTCCATCCCGTTCCAACCGTTGGTTCGCAATCAGTCGCAACCTGGTAATAACTGGAGAAGTATCAAGAGTGGACCTTCCAATCTCCCTGGCCCTCTCCCTGGCTCCCTCCCTGGCCCTGCTAATGAGTCAGCTGAAGGAGGCCTGTATTTCATCTTCGAAGTCATTCTGTTAAACCCTGACGTGTCTGGAAGTTGTCATCCCCGGCATGCTAAACGTGCGACTTGTAAAAGTGCGTGCGGTAGGAATGCAACTCACCCCCGGCGCATGAACTATCAGTAACCCGCGGCTTGTTGCGAGAGTCGAAAGGTGTCGGAGATGTCGTGCCGAGCCTACACGCGCTAACGCACGCAGTTGAATTGCAGCTATTGGATTCAGTGAGTAGCTTCGACCTGTTCCGCGTGAAACCCAAATGATCCTAAAGGACTGCTCTGCGAAGCGACGCTTTGAGGGAATGAGAAACGGTTTCCGGCATCAGAAAAAAAACGGTTTCGTGAAGTCATACCCCAAGCTGATAGCGGCTCTGAACGCTCAACTCGATCTGCTCTATCAGTTGACCACCTTGTATGCTAGCGCATGAATACCCGTTACGGCTGCTGCAATCGCAAAGGTTACCCGCAACTGCGGAGCTAACGTTGCGCTACTGGACCAGTAACGCTAATCAGCGCCGGGCAATACGAAGCTCCTGTTCGTCATCCTTAATGAGGTTCCGGCTACATCGCCAACACGATGAGCGAGATTCTCCCGGAAAAGAGTGTCCGATTTTACGGACTACGCAATATTATCGACTATGAACCCGGAACATGGCCGAGCATAGGGTGTGCTGATGGATGGAAGAGTGGGGTCTGGGAGGGGGAATGTGTGTTAGGGTTTCCGTAACATCGAATGCAACAAGGGTCCTTCCTAAACGCGCAGACTGGTATGGCGCGACTTGTCAAAAAATTCAAATCGGAGTTAATGAGAATAACGTGAGCATAAACGCGAATCAGGCTGACGTGGAGTCTAAAACACGCACCTCTTGGTGAAAGGTCCATCAACGGTGACGTGGATCTTAGCCTTGTCCTTAGTGACCTTCACCGTGTCGCCCAGCACGCCCGCCTTGTTGTCGACCTTAATCCGGTCCTGAAGAAACTTCTCGAACGACGCGATCTCCATGATCTTGTCCTCCACCGGCTTCGTGCAGTCGATCACGAAGTTGTGCGGCTTCCTCTTTCCCTTGGACCCGGCCGCAGCCTTCTTGGCGGGAGGCGCCATTGCGAAAGTCTAGGGTGGAGTGAGGGGTGAGGGAAGACGGTCCTAGAGAGGAAGGAAAAGGAGGAAGAAAGAGGCTCGAGGGAGGAAATTAGGGCAATGGGTGGGAGTGGGAGGGCAGAGGGGAGGGGATTGGGGAAGGATGGAAATAGCACTGCGAATATAAAATTTGCGAACGGTTGTACAGGTTACTCATCTGATTTCGTGGCTCACGAAACTGTGGTAACAGACTGAACAGATTTTCAGTTGAGGTTTTCTTGCGAGCGCACATGATTGAAGCGGACCACTCCTATTTGTTTGAGTGGCTTACCACCACGGTTTGGGCACTTCGCCAGTTCGCAGCATCGCAGATTCACCATCCCATCGCACCCTCGACATTCCACCCTCGAGATTTCCACCCTTGGATTTTCCGTGTCCGAGCAAGCGCACTGACCAGCCATTGGCTAGTAGTGACTGTCCGCTCCCTGCTTGCCGCCTCCATCCTGTCAGTACCCGCGGCTCGCTGTGTACTTGAGATTCCTTAAGGCGATCACTTATCGGGTTGTAGATTAATTACGGCGATCAAGCGCCGCCGTTATTCAGTTTCCGGCGACCTCGAGTTCTAGATACACGAGTCAGCAGGATTCCAGCCATGGCAGCCATTGCGACAGGTCAGCTAGCACGCGATATCGCATCAACGGCTACTCTAACATCGCACTCGAATTCAGAGCCTAAGCGAGCTCCAATCGCAGCGTCACATACACCTGTATCTAAGGCCGTTGCACTCTCCGCGAGCTCGCGATACTCAGACAGATGTGTCGTCGCGACGCGACGCGGCGGTGACGACGGCGTGAGACGACATCGCCGCCGTGGCGCTACTAGGAGACATAGCTGTCGAGCATCAGTGGTGACGGAAGGTGCGGATGGGTTCTCAGACGCTCACATTTTCAATGCGAGTGCGTCGAACATCCTGTAGCGACCTAAGTGCAGTGACCGGTCGTTCGCGTACCGTCCGTAATCCCTTCAGTCCACTGCCCCTCCAGTCATCGCCATCGCATTCTCCTTCCGACATCATACCCGGTCCATCCCGGCTGCTCACGGCTGAGATCTAAGCTTCTCAGGATCGAATTAGGTGTTCTATCTATCATCGCCATCGCATTCTCCTTCCGCCATCATTGCGTTGTACTGCCCGTCCTCCGCACAGACCACGCCGCGTTCCTGCGCGACGTCGCGGCGATCGATCCTCCGCCGCTGCTGAGCGCGCTGATCCGCGTGCTCCAGGCGCAGGGTGAGCGAATGCGGGCAGCTATCGAATGACTGGATGGCTCATTGTCGCTTGGATCCGCGAATGACTGGATGACTCTTTTCCCGTTTCCGCTTGAAATTCATGCAATGCGGCTTTCAACTACGCAAGTTTAATCTCCACCTCGCTCGTCCTCCGTCGTCCCGTTTCCCTCCCCCATTCCCCGTCACGCCTCCCGCGAACCTAATGCGCAGGCGAGCAGCCCGTGTCGCCCCCCGATCGCCGGGGCATGGTACCGCTGGCCGTCCCACTCACGCGAAACCCAGCCACTGGTGAGCTCTGGGCGCCTTGCGGCCCTTGCAGTTCGCAGAACAGGGAAAGCCTGAACGTGGTCCCCTCGTGCTCACCCCGTGATGTCTGATCGTCCCCACTGTGCATGCAGCCGCCATCCGCCATGAGCGACCCTCCGTCGTGCCCACCCCCGCCTCCCCCCCTTCCCCCCACCCGATGCGCGCCCCCAGGCACCGTGACGGCGCTGCTCCGCTGGCCCACCGCTCCCCCGGGGTAAGTGCGCTCGCCCCCCTGGCTCGGCGCGCTGCTCGTCAGTATCAGTGCTGCGTTTCGTTTCTGTGATTCGTCTCCCTCCCTCCTTTTCCTCCAAATTTGTTTCGAGTGGACGCAATGCTGACTCCCCCTGTGCTCTGTCCACGTCAGCATGCAGATGCCCATTATCCGCGTGGGGGAAGGAGGCGGCTGCGTCTTGGTTGCACGATCGGTGAGTAGCCACGGCTGGGCATGGCGTGGCATGGCAGGATTCAATGATGGGCATGACATGGCGTGGCATGGCGTGTTGGAAGGGGTTCCAGGAGTATCAGCAATGTGGTTGAAGGGTCTCATCACTCCCTCCCCATACACCCACCCCATGTCTGCCGCCATGTTTTTCCCACTTCCTCCCGCCCCTCCCCAACCCATCTACACCCATCCCCCACAGGCGGACGAGTACATTCAGAGGGCGCTCGTGGAGGAGGACGTGGGGGGGCGGGAGGGCAGCGCGGAGGGGGACTCGGGGAGGGTGGGGGAAGCGGCGGGGGAGGAGGGGCGCAGGCTGTATTCGCGTGGGGACTTTGCAGCGGCCAAGGCCAAGTCCCTTGACGCCTATCTGACCACCAAGGTAAGCGAGCAACATTCTTGTATCATTGTGCATTCCTCACTCTCCCCTTCCCTTGCTCGCCCCTTCTCTCTCCCTGCTTTCCCACCTGGCCTTTTGTCCAGGATTTGCCACCGCCTAAGTTCGAACCTTTCTGAAGTTCTCACTCTCCCCAATCTCCTCCCCCCTTCCATCCCCTCCTCTCTCACCCCCTCCACCTCCCCCCTTTTCCCCTTTCCCTTGCTAGCGGTGCTGGCAGGTGGGCAAGTTCCCAGACGTCCTTGAGAGGCTGGCTGTGCGGCACCTGGAGCTCCTTCATTGCAAACCTCATCCCCCTTCCCCTCCCCCCCGTCTCCACTGGTGCTGGCAGGTGGGCATGTTCCCGGACGTCCTTGAGAGGCTTGCTCTGCGGCACCTGGAGCAGGGCGACCAGGTGTCAGCGCTGGTGGCGGGGGAGTTCTATGCGCGCAAGCACTTCCCAGGCTTCGCACATCCCTTCACATTCAACGCACAGCTGCTGCTCAGGTGAGGGACCCCACCACACTGCCGCGTCTTTCAAGCTGCCTGGGGGACCAGAGGGAGGAACTTTGGGGGAAAGACTCTGTGGCTGGAGTGGGAAACGTTAAGTGGGAGGGGGCTGAGGGCGCTTAACGTTTCCCACATAAAGCATTGGTATGCCTGAACAATGTCCTAACCACATAAAGCATTGGTCCCTGCTCAACCGTCCCCTCCTTTCATCCCAAACAGCTCCTTGCGCTTTTGTCTCCCTCCTTCCCTCCTTCCCTCCTTCCCCCCGTCCCTCCGTCCCTCCTCCCCTTACTCTCCATTGTCCCTCTTTTCAAACGCTCAGAGTGGGGAGGCCAACAGAGGCGAGGGATGCGGCGCGGATCGCTCTCAAGTCGCCCTGGTGGACCCTGGGGGCGTCGTACCAGGTAGGCGCAGCAGACGAGCCTGGCAGCACTCTGTTGTGTGGGCGGCGTGGAAGCAGAAGGTCTCTGGTGTCTCCCCTGTTCTTCTTTGTCCAATAGAGTGTCTTTGATCTGAGTGTGCTCAGTTGATGTGCCATGTGCATGTGCCATGTGTGTGTGTGCCGTGTGCATGTGCCGTGTGCGAGCAGGAGGTGGCGGAGCTGGCGGGGTACGGGGACTCGCAACTGGAGTATGCGTTGGAGCGGCTGACAGAGGAGGGCAGGAAGGAGGATGTCAACAAGGGCAAGGCGGAGGCGCAGGTCAGGGAGAGAGATGCGTGAGCCATTTGTGGTAATGTCAATAGATTAGGCGAAAGGGCATAGTACCGTTGAACGTTCGCAGGATTTTTCAGAGGCTAATGATTGTGTCCCATCAATCCCTCTGTCTTGGGCATCCATATGACTGCAGGTGGCATTGGACCAGGCAGCCTTTCTGCTGGACGTGGCAGCAGCAGAGGGCACGTGGGATGAGACGCGTGAGCAGCTGGCAGGGCTGTACCGGGAAGCAGGGCTGGAGGAGATGGCCTCGTTTGTCCTCGCTGGACCGCCAACCTCAACATAGGCTGCAAGAAATGGGCACCGGCACGCATGGAGGGAGAGAGAACGCGAGCAAGCAGCCCGGTCAAATCAAATGCCGAGAAGCACGTGTTCTTTACGCGAGAAGGGCAGCACTATTCTCTACATGAGCAGTTTAATCAAGGCCAATATTGGTGGCTGAGCAGCGATTGATTTATCGTGCTCCATGTTCCTGCAGAACTCTTAGGTACCGTACTGCTGCCAGCTGTGAGATTCTGGGGGTTGCCGTATTTGATGGTGTACGCTGGTCCATGGTCCATCCAACATGTGCTCTTTCCGTACCAGTCAGCTCTAGTAGCAACAAACGTCATTGTCAACCCACGCAACAATAATTCTCCACACGCCCTTTTCTTGCCTCAATGTTTTTACAGCTGCTTGGTCACACATACGGTACTACCTAGTTGCAAATGAGAAACAAAGCATACTTTGTTAGGAAATGGTGCTAGTGTTTCCCAACCGCTCACCGTGTATGTCCACCTGCTTCCCAAACCTGGTGGGTAAGGTTTCTGTTGTGCACCTGCGTCCCAAGCCTGGTGGGTAAGGTTTCTGTTGTGCACCTGCGTCCCAAGCCTGGTGGGTAAAGTTTCTGTTGTGCACCTGCAAGCTCCCCAAGCCTGGTTGTGCGGAACATGGAGTTAACGTTGGTCCCGTGTGTAGCCTGTAGGCATGAGGTCTGGTTGGTGACTGGTTTGTGGCAGCTGCAATTGCAGTCATGGGCCATTACCGTATGGTGCGTGTATTTTGAAACCACAACTAAGGCCCACTGCCAGTGTACAGTGTCAAATGTTGTAGCCTATAGTGAGGTTTGTCTTAGGGGGTACAGAAGTTAGGGTTTGTTATATGTACCCCAACCAACATCAATGGACCATCCATTCCTCATTTTGACATGGTATCAGCTAGGTTAGGATCCTGTGGGATCCCGTTCCTCCGTTCTCCGTTCGTACCTCCCGAGCCTGACCCTACCTCTCGTTCGTACCAGTTCCGTTGTTACCCGCGCCTAGTACCGAGCCTAGCGCCCTTTCCCCCCGTCGCTTAGCGCCCTTTCTCCCCGTTACCTAGCGCCCTTTCCCCCCCCCCCCCCCCCCCCCCCCCCCCGTCGCGTCGCCCTGTCCCGTCGCGTCGCCCTGTCCCGTCGCGTCGCGCCCTTTCCCCCCGTCGCGTCGCGCCCTTTCCCCCCGTCGCGTCGCGCCCGTTCCCCCCGTCGCGTCGTGCCCGCCCGTTCCCCCCCGTCGCGTCGTGCCCGCCCGTTCCCCCCCCGTCCCGTCGCCCTGTCCCGTCGCGTCGCCCTGCCCCGTCGCGTCGCCCTGCCCCGTCCCGTCGCCCTGTCCCGTCCCATCGCCCTGCCCCATCGCGTCGCCCTGCCCCGTCGCGTCGCTCCCGCCCTTTCTCCCGTCCCGTCGCCCTGCCCTACGCCCTAGCCCGTCGCCCTACTCTAAGCCCTGGCCCGTCGCCCTACCCTAAGCCCTGCCCCGTCGCCCTTCCCTCCGCCCTGGCCCGTCGCCCTTCCCTACGCCCTGGCCCGTCGCCCTACCCTAAGCCCTGGCCCGTTGCCCTACCCTACGCCCTGGCCGGTTGCCCTACCCTACGCCCTGGCCTGTCGCCCTAGCCCGCTCTTCCGCTGCGACTGAGTCCTCTTCCTCCCGGTTGTTACTCGCCTGTTCGTTTGCGTTAGTTCTCACTATGGCGACTCCGCGAGTTCTTCGTTTCGACGCTGACGGTAGACCCCTTGAATTTTCCGTCTGGCTTCTTCGCGCTCGCCGTCTGTTAGAGAGTCAGGTCCAGGGGGGCGAGACCCTCTGGTCGCACGCTACTGGTGACCTCCCCGAGCCCCCCGAGCCTACAGCTTTAGGCCCTGCCCCTGACGACACTACTACGGCTCGCTTTGCCCGTCAGCGCGCTGACCGGACGGCTTGGACGTCGCGTGACGCTGCGGCCTGCATCGCACTCAGCAGCCTCCTCCCTGAGTCCGAGGAGGTCCACTTTACTCAGGTTCGCACCGCTGCTGCGTACCTCACTGCGATTAAGGCCCGCTACTCTACTCCCGCTACTGTCTCTCTTGGCCGTCTTTTCCTCCCGTTCCTGTTTCCTGATCTCGCCTCGTTTGAGCGCTCTGCTGACTTGATCGCTCACCTCCGCTCGCTCGACGCTAGTTACCGCGCTGCTTGCACTGAGGCACAGCTTGCACTGCTTCCTCCCCCCATGGCGATTACTGTCTATTTCATCGCCACTAGCCTCCCTGACCGCCTTGCCTCCGTTCGTGACGCGCTTCTGCTGAAGCACCCTAGTGAGCTGACTATCGAGGTCCTTGAGTCTGCACTCAAGGACGTCGAGAGCAACCTTCGTTCGGTAGCTGCCGCCTCTGGTACTGTGTCCCCCCCACTCTTCCACGGGTGCACAGTCCCGCAGTTACCCACCTTCACTGCCTCTCTTGCCACTGCCGCTACTGACGCGACTGCGGCTGCTGTTACGACTGCGTCGCGGTCCCGCGGCAGGGGGGGCAAGAAAGGTGGTTCTGGTGGAGGTGGAGGCGGAGGTAGCGGAGGTAGTGGGGGTGCTGTTGCGACTGGCGGTGGTGGGAGTGCAGCGTCTGGAGAGACCCCTCGTGCAGCGGCTGGTGACTCCACTGCACCTGCTGGTGGCGGCGACCCCCGAGCTCGTCAGTCGCCTCCTGTACTGCCGGCCCCGCTAGGTGGAGCAGCGGCGTGGTACCAGGCTCAGCGGCAGCAGCACCTTCAGCAGCAGCAGCAGCCCCTTTCCTCCCAGCAGCCTCAGCAGCAGGAGCGTCAGCAGCTGGCTCCGGGGTCGGGGCTGCGTCAGCCCCAACGCGGTACTGCTTACCCTCCCTGCCCCTACCAGGTTCTGACAGGTCCTCGTCGGGGCCACCCTTGTGGCCGCTTTCACCCCCCTGGTCAGTGCTTTGCTCAGCTCACTGACACGGTCCGGTTAGCCTACGGGGTTGGCGGTCCTGCTCCTGACTGGCTTCCTCTGGTTCAGCGCTACGGCTCCGCTCTGTGGGGCATGTCTGCTGAGCAGTTAGTTGATCTGATTAGTGCTCCTCATGCTATGTATGCTGTTGTTGACTCTAGTGTTTCTGACTCTGTTTACTCTGGTGTTGTTAGCTTAGGTGCTAGTCTTGCTCAGTTGCCTGTTGCTAGTGTAGGTTCTTGTGTAGACTCTAGACCAGCGACTACCTCAGAGGACGCTTCGCTGTCGTTCACGCTGGACTCTGGAGCCTCCCACTGCTTCTTCCGGGACAGCACGACACTTACACCACTTCCTGCGCCTGTTTCTGTTGCGTTGGCTGATCCCACTACGGGACCAGTCACTGCACGTCACACTACCACTTTACCGTGTCCTGCTGCTCCCTCCGGGTCTCTCACTGGGTTTCACGTCCCCTCGTTCTCCCGGAACTTGGTGGGCGTGCGACCCCTTGTGAGTCAGCACGTGGGTGTGTGGTTTGAGCCTTCTGGAGAGACTGCGGTGTGTGTTGACGGAGACTCTTACCAGCCTCTTGCTACCTTTACTGCTGAGTCGGGCTCGGGTCTCTACACTCTTCACACTGGCCCGCGTGCGCCGCAGCAGCAGCCGCAGCAGCAGCAGCAGCCGCAGCCGCAGCAGCAGCAGCAGCAGCAGCAGCAGCAGCAGCAGCAGCACCAGCGGCTGCACCAGCAGCCCCCCCTACTGCCACTGCCCCCGGTCCCCCCCCCCGTTCGGGTCCCCGCGTCTCACCAGGTTGCTTCGTCCCCCCAGGTGTCTGTGTCGTGTCTGGTTCCTACGTCTGTTCCAGTCGCTGCGTCGTGCTCCTGCCGGTCGCTTGCCCACCCCACCGTTCTGTGGCACCACCGGATGGGGCACCCGTCCCTTCCTCGTCTGCGCGCTATGTCCAGTCAGCGTCTTGTCCTAGGCCTCCCACGTGTCTTGCCGTCGCTGCCGCCTTCGCTTGCGCCGCCGTGTGGTCCCTGCGTCGAGGGTCGGCTGCGCGCCACCCCTCACTCCTCCTCCCTACGTCCGGCCACCGAGCCTTTTGAGACGCTTCACTTGGACGTCTGGGGCCCCGCCCCTCGTCTAGGCCCTGAGCGTGAGCGTTACTTTCTGGTGGTCGTTGACGACTTCTCCCGCTACACCACAGTGTTCCCTCTGGCGAAGAAGTCTGAGGTGACTTCTACGCTGATCAGGTGGTTGCTCACCACCGAGGACACTCGTGGTCGTCGTGTCAGCTGTCTCCACTCCGACCGTGGGGGTGAGTTTCGCTCCGGCATTCTCGCTGGATTCTGTCGCGAGCAGGGCATTCGTCAGTCCTTGACGCTTCCAGAGTCCCCACAGCAGAATGGGGTTGCTGAGCGCCGCATAGGCCTGGTCATGGAGATCGCCCGCACCTCCCTGACTCACGCCTGTGCCCCCCATTTTCTATGGCCCTACGCGGTCAGGTACGCCGCGCACCAGCTGAACCTCTGGCCACGTGTCTCTTGAGTAGAGGTGTCACCGACCAGTCTTTGGACAGGGTCCCCTGGTGTTGCGTCGCGGTTTCGCGTCTGGGGGTGCTTGGCTCTTGTCCGCGACACCTCCGCGGACAAGCTCTCGCCTCGTGCCGTCCCCTGTGTCTTCCTTGGTTTTCCTGAGGACTCCTCTGACTTCACCTTTTACCACCCTCCCTCTCACCGGTTCTTTGACTCCCGTGACGTCCGTTTCGAGGAGTCCACTCCGTACTACGTCAGGTACCCCAGTCGAGGTCTCCCGGTTCCTCCTCCCCCCCTCTTCCTGACTGCAGCCCCCCCTCCTGCTCCCCCGGTACAGCCTCCCCCCCCTGGTCCAGCCCCGTCAGGTGTGTCCCAGGCTACCCCTCCTCCTTCGGTAGCCCCTCCGGTACAGCCTCCCTCCCCACAGTCCTCCTCGCAGCGTGCCGCTGGTGCTAGCTCTCGAGAGGTTGGTGCTGCGCCTGTTCCTGTACCGGTTTCTGGTTCTGGGGGTGCTGGAGTTGGAGCTGGA